TAATTGTATTTAATTAAATTAAGAAGAATACAGTGCGATATTAATTTATAAAAATAATTTAAGGGATAGTACTTTGTATCAGCTCTGCTGTCTGCAGTTTCTTTTTTTGTAGCATGATTTTATTTTAATGTATAATATGTAATTTTTTTGTCAGTATCATTCTGCAAATAAACGTTATTATTATTATTATTAGTAATAAAAAATTACACTTGAAAATATTTCTTTCTTTCTTTTTTTTCAATCTATCAGTGTGTAAACACCTACAACTTTTGATTAAATTATCGATGAAATAATGGCAGAACCAATTTTGTCCACCTATATGGTGATTATGGACCAATCAAATTCGCCTTCGGACACGAAGTTTTTCTTCTCTCTTAACAGTACACACAACTTTCGAGATGCGTATCTCGATTATTAATTGCTGAATTATTATAACTACTATTAATTTAGTTTTAGTTTTTTGTTTTCTTTTGGACCTCGATTGGTATCTCTTGGTGCGTACCTACTACGGTACCGTACGCGCCTAATTAAAATATTAACCTGTCGATCGATATTAATTAGTTTTCGTGTCCCTTAATCATCGTCTTACAAATTAAATTTATGAAAGAACGGGAAATAATTTACTTACGATGAACATTTTTATTTGTGTCGATGACAATTACATTTTTCGTTTCCTGATTTAAGAGGGGTACCGCAAAGTTCTGTATTGACACGACTACTTTTTAACATCTACATTAGAATTATTTATTTCCAGCATTTATAATGAATCGTATTATTACATTTTACATCTTTACTGTTTTCCACTGAATTTATTAAAAAAATTATAAATTATGGTGTTTATTTTTTTTCTCTAAAGCTATTGGTTTTGGGAAAAAAGCTTTTAAATAAAACAAGGATTTCAAGTTATAATTTTATTTCATAAAACTTCATCTCGAAAAAATGTTTTGATATGAAACAAAGTAAGGGTTGCTACTTTCACCCCCCCCCCCCCCCTATAATGTAACAGAAATATTGAAAAAATACCCGTGGTTAGTCCTTTGCGAGTGCACGAAAATTACAGAAGTTTCTAGCTTTACTGAAATTTTAGGAAAAAAAAAAAAAAAACTCAATTCACCACCTTTTAAGGGTGATATCTCGGACAGGGGTGTGCTGAGGAAATTTTGTTATAGGAAAGACCCATCTTAATTTCATACGAGCAATCACCTCCTGAATTTTGTCGCATGAATTTAGAAACATCCTGTATATTGGTCGAGTATTGTGAGAAGCAAAAAATATTAAATTGGAAACAAAAATACTATTAACTGGTTAACCCGAATTCACATTAATTACAAAAGTTTTCAAACTTTGTTGATGATAAAACCTATTAAGAGCGATATCCATGGTTAGAAACAGGCTTAAAACGACTTCAAGGTTCTCTTTCTCAGTTTTAAATATTTTTTTATAAAATTTGGTATATCTACTAAGCAAATAATAGAGAACTCCGCTGTAGAGCCCGAATTCAGAAAAACTAATTTTTTAATTATTTCTATACAAATTATGAAAATTATTGCAAAAAGGAGTCTTTACCGGGAATTGTTATATAAAAATCAGCTAATTCTTTCTAATACACTTTTTTGTCCAAAGCGTATATTTTTTGAAAACCTTGAATTAGGAAATCTGAGAAAATCTGTCAAGATTCCAATCCATATTAATTGATTTGGCAACAAGGCGGCGGACGTTGGCGGTGCATGCAGTACCGGAAAATTGGGATAAAAATAAAATAATAAAAAACTTTATTCTTTTTAGTTCAAGTGTAGGTGTTTTTGTTTCGTATTTAGTCAATGTGTTTATATGAACTTTTATGTGTAAGCTGAGTTATAATAATTTGTGATAAAAATGGAAAAACTTTCGGAAATGCCGAAAATTATATTTCCGTTTCGACGGAAATCTATAAAATATCGTGCTAGATTACTTAAAAAAAGACAAACATTAGCACCCCTTCTAAGCATTAAAGTTAAAATATATGGGAAATTAAAATACTAAGTATTGAATAAAAAAAAAACCTTTAGCTTTAAAGCAATATTTACAAATTTAAAGCGGATATCCAATAAATGTGGTTTATTTGTGGATTCTGAATATGGTTTTTAGGTTCCGACGGTTTATTAGGAAGAGACAGTATTATCGAAATTAAATATCCTGCCACTGCTTCAAAACTGACTCCGAAAAAAGCAATGGTTGACAGCATAATAAAATTTGCAATTATTAATGATAATGCGAAAATGCAATAATGCAATATTTTTTTTTTTTTATTTATTTTAATACCTTTAAGTATGTTAGTAGAAAAAATAAAAAAGATGATAGATTTTGGTGTATATGGAAAACAAACTAAAGCAATTTTATTTAGATTGTATACTACCCGAGATCTTAGATCCACGTTTCACTAGAGGTTTAGATATTAGAAATTTGAGTAGAAATCCGAGTAGAAATCCGACCAATAGTCAATAAAAATGATTATTTTTATTCCTTCTTTTACTAATAATAAATCATTTTACTCAATGTTATTTTTAAATATTTTTAGTACTAGAAAACAATTTTTTCTACACCCAAATGGATAGCGTATCTACGTACAGACTACAAAACGAAAAAATATGCTATTGCGTAAAATGAGTTATACTTGTGTAGAATCGATAAATAATAGCATTTCTAGTTTTATTTGATCTATATTTAGAAATAAATAATTATAAATTTTAATTAAACTATATGAAATCAATTTAATTTATATTCACTCATGTTACACAAACTACTATTTTCTACATCCACATGGATATGCTTTTTTCTATACCCACATGAATATTAGCTAATCTACGCACATACTACAAAACAAAAAAGTATTCCATTGCGTTCAACTGAACGAATATATTTCATATTCATTCTACCTAGTAAGAACACTGCAAAACAGTTAAATCCACCAATCAGATTATATATTGGTCACCCGGCTAATATTATTTTTTAAATTTTATGTAGTCAAACTGTCAGTATATTTTTGAATTATTGAGATTAAATATACGTAAAAATGAATATTTATTATGTATAATCGATAAGTAATAGAATTTCTATTTTTATTTCGTCCAAATTTATAAACAAATCTTAAATTTTAATCAAACCATATAAAACTAATTTAATTACAAGTATTAAAACTATAATGGCAAGTGTGGCGACGGCACGGAGTTTGTCTCCAAGCGAGAGACCCGAGTTCCAATCATGGCTGGGGACTAATTAAATTAAATCTTTTTCTATGTTTATTTTATTTTATAAATTATTAAAAGTCATACATTATTTTAAAATTATTTATTTTGTCTTAATAAATTACTTTTTTAAATTTGTAGAATTTCGTTAGGGTGTCTAGAAAAAATATACTGTACAACTCGAGTGGATTGTCTGTATCGCACTCAGACGATTAAGCACTCCGTCTACAGCGTCGTTCTGAAACTTCGTCTTCGTGCGATATGGCCATCATATCCAATTTTGTTGCACAAACTACTATTCACGCACAGACTATACAAAACGAAAAAATATACTATTGCGTTCAACTCAACGAATATATTTCATATCCATTCTGGGTAGTGAGAACACTGCAAAAAAATGAAATCTACCAATCACAGTTTATATATTGGACACCCAACAACTATTATTTTTAAAATTTTAAATAAGTGACAATTCTGTCAAACTAATTGTCAGTATATTTTTTAGGAATTGAGATTAAATATACATTAAAATGAGTTATTTTTGCGTAGGATTCATAAATAATTTTAATTTAGACCACAATTTAAAAAATCCTAAATTTGAATTAAACTACCTATATGAAACTAATTTAATTACTACTTTTAGAACTAAAATTTTAAATGTGGAGGTGAAAATGATGATACGGCATCTGTCTTTCACTCGAGAGGCCCGAGTTCAAATCTGGGCTGGGGACTAATTAAATGAAATATTTTTTCATGTTTATTTTATTTCACAAATTAGTAAAGTCATAAATTATTTTAAAATTAATTATTTTGTCTTTTCCTAAAATAATACTTTAAATTTGTAGATTTTCGTTAGTGGGTCGTAGAAAAAAACATACTGTACAACTCCAGTGGATTGTCCACTGTTGTTGCACAAACTAGTATCAAATGGGTTATTATTTAAAAAACGTATTTTTATACAGGGTATTTGTAAATAAGTACGAACGATTTTTGCAAATTGTTATCAAAGTTATTTTGTTAAAAAAAGTTCCTATAAAAGTAGGTCGAAATATGCTTCGTTTCCGAGATACAGAATGTTTAAATTTTAATTTATTAAATTTTATTAATTATTTTTAATAGTTTTAAAGATATTTACTCTAAATTTGCAAAAAAACTTTGAAGGGGCAAATGTGTATTTTTTGGGGTGTTCCAAATATTTCTACTTGTACCAGTGGCGTTTGTGCGAGAATGCCACTTTTTTAATAAAAAAGTACTGCGCCACTGACTTTTTCGATCTATGTTTTTTTTTATAAAATAACTTCGGCAAACATTCCCTAAAATCATTCACACTTACCAACAAACACCCTGTATATAAGAAAATGTAGAAATAGGTACATATGTATATTTAAAAATATATTTCGTAAATAAATAAATTAGTTATAAAAAAAATTTATTTTTCGAAAATGTTACACCAGGTTATACCTTTAAAAAATATTTTAAACGAGAAAACAAAACAGAAATACTCTTTGTTAGACCGGACCTGCGATTTATCGGCATTTTTAATATTTTAAATCATCTATAGTTTATAAGTAATAAATTGAAGGGAGCGTAAGCCTGGGAATAGAGCAACGTTGCCAAAGTGGGTTCAGATGCACTGAAAGTTGTCAGTGTGTTCTAAATCTGAATTTGCTGTTAGGTGTTGCATGGATATCGCTCTTAAGAATGTTATACAATTTCTTCTTTTCTTTTTTCTTCTTTTTTTTTCTCATTTAATTAGATTTTATTTTGTTTTTTTAGTTGGAACCAAAGAAATGCATGGAATGGTACGTCACGGCTAGCAGAGGAGACTATCAGGAATTGCTGAAATTAGCAAACAACGAGCCGAGATTAGTCAGCAAAAAGGTAAGCAATTATAAAACTCGTATCGATTTTTTCAACTCGAGTTTTCGAGTCGTTAGAACGGAAACCAGCGTATAGCTAGTTCAAATCCAGCTTGAGACACGTTTGTTTTCATCTTGGTAGTTAGGGGATAAATAATATATTTTTTTAAGGTCAATTTGGGAATCTTAAAACAAAAAATAAAAATGTTTTAAACATTTTACCTATACCAATTTCTTACATGATACAGTAATGTACATAGGTAGGTACCTGCGAAAAATAAAAAATGGACTAAAACATCGACAACCTTTTAAAACCCCATGCGGTCATTATCGTTTCTTATGAATGGAATCATTTGTGAAATATTGTCTCAACGTCAATTTTGCACCCAAAAAGTAAGTCAGAAGAGGGTCGGATTTGTCATCTGATATGTTTGCTCGTTTAAGAACTTTCAAATGGGGTGATTTGTTTTGTTTCCTTTGAAAGGTTCTCGCTATCTTCAATCTGATAAAGGAAAGTGATATCTGGTAGGAAGAGTGGTGTTTTCTTTTTAAAAATGTGTCCTTGGTTTGTGCAAGAAAGTGCATTCTTTAAAGTATTAAAGTAACGTTGGTTAATTATTATGGATTTCTATTGTTATTTTACTGGGTAAATCTGTTTGAAAGCTTTAAAAATCGAGGATCCAAACACTGGACATTTTTTTGCGAAATTCGTTTTGTTATGAAATATTCCGTAGAATAGATGATGTCATCTGTTGACCAAGTTTGAAGTTAATCAGTTTTCAGTTCTAGCAGTAAATCGCTTTTAAAAATAGATTGTAGAACCAAAAATTCCTCGTTCAATAGGGGAGGCTTAAACTCCGATAATACATGCACTATTATCGGAGTTTAAGCCCTCTCCCTATTAAACTTGTATTTTTATAAAAAATGGGCAATCCTCAGAATACATTTCTTAGCAACTTTCAATTATTTTGGAATCATTTCGATGTTTGCACATTTTTTTATATCAAATAAAAACACATAAATGCACTATTATCGGAGTTTAAGCCCCCCTATTGGACGAAGATTTAAAAAAAAGGGCAATCCTCAGAAGACATTTTTTTAGTAACCCACAAATATTTTGGCGTTATTTCGATGTTTGCCCATTTTTTTATAACAAATAAACTCTAAAATCTCGGATAGTGGAATTGTCATCAAATCCCTTTTTTAATTAATTTTTTTTTGAAAATCGTTATGGAAATTTGTGAAACAAAAAAATGGGCAAACATGGGCTAACGAATGATTATCTAATGCAGTTATCACATTGCATTTTCGTGAATATTTTTGTTTTCTCTAATTTTTTTTTCTGAAAAAACTAATTTGTGGGCAAACGAAATGCTATTATGCCGTGAAATTAAATTATGAAAATTTTAACTTTTGTCTGGAAGTTGACCCGCGAAGATTATTTTCGATATATTGTGAAAACAGAGGGTGGGCAAAAAAGTTATTTCGTGGGCAAACCTCTCACACATTTTTGACCCGTTTTTGCAATGTTGTGGTGCCAAGTTCACAGACCTGCAAGCATCAATAAATTCAAATTGACTTTTTACTTGCATGGCCCAGTTAAATTTAACACGCATTTCTGTTGGAAGAAACACATTTTTGGAAGTCTGCTGTCATGCATAGATAAAATTTTCAGTAACCAGTTAAGTTTGACTCGGCCCGTTTCAAGTCTTATTACATAATCCGGTGTATTGATTGGCACGGATAAAATTCTTTTTAAAAAGTTGGTTTGTACACGCTCAAGTATGTATTTACATTCGCGCTAATTTTGAAAGCATTACCTTGTATCTGCCAGTCGGCTCCATATTATCGAATGTTATTGTTGTAGTTCCTGGAAGTGCTTCGTGTTTTTAGCTGGTAAGATGTTTAAAATAACTATAATTTTATAATTCTTTTTAAAAAGTTGTTTTGAAGGTTGTTAGATGTTTTTATGATATTTATTTTATTTATATTTCTTTACCTCAAAAAGCATTTTCTTTCCAGGTGACACTTACGTCGTCCTGCATTTTTGAAAATTCAAATTGAATTGGCACTTACGAGGTACTGTATAAAACTACTAATATAATAATGTCCAACCGAGCAAGAAAGATAGTAGCAATGGCTAAAATTCTGCACTCAAATAAATCAGAAACAGTAAACGAAAACCATGAACAAGAAAATGACAAATATAAGTGATCTTAATAATAAGTCTTTTCTCGAGTTTAACTTGGAACAGCTTTTGAGCCCTGAGGATACTTCTGAAATAATCAGTAACGTGGAGGTCCTATTCGAAAGTACTTCAGAGCCAGGAATTCTTAAGAGTACTCCTGAACAAATTGCGAATTTGGAAATCATGGAATCTACAATATCAGATCCTAGCTTTGAAATAAACAATGTAGAAGCCAGTTTGGATCAAAGCGTTACAAATTCTGTCACGATAATACCCGAAGAAAACCTTTCTGATCCCGATTACGACGCCACTATGGAGCGCGACGACGCTGACTCATCTGATTGTCGAAGATAATTATTCAGATCAAGAACTGCAAGGGTTAGAATCAGAAAAGGATAGATATTTAGTAGATCAACCTGCTAGTGAACATGTAACCCAGATAGCACAAATACGTCTTATGGACGTCTTAAAAACGTCCTGCTTGGACATTCAGGATATCCTTACAACGTCCATTTCACGGACATGGATGTCTTATGGACGTCTTTGGAACGTTAATAATCAGGATATCGTAAGAACGTCCATTTAAGAACATTCCATGAACATTTTCAACAGCTCAAATAGAGAAATACAGGATGTTTAAGGAAATTAATGAAAATAATGAATAATTTCAAAAAAAATTATTTGGAAGCAACTAACTAAGCAAAGATAGTACCTGAATACGGGGAAAGCAGGGGAATACAATAGACCCAAGAGGCCGCAGTGTTCTGGGCCAAACCTAACCCTACCTGCTTACAACCGATAAAGATAAAGATAAAAATAAATGAAGATTGACTAATAGTTTTAGGTGGTAGAACCGACTTAGCTACGAGTCTAGAAGACAGCTGCAGAAGACCGATCATTTTGCCACCAAAACACCCATTAACGAAGCTATTTCTACAGCATTACCACGAAAGTATGGGCCATGAAGGAGTAGAAACGGTCCCAAAAGATATTAGAAGAAAATACTGGGTCACTGATGGAAGATCTAAATGCCAAAAATGTCGAATCTTAAAAGCCAAACCCGAAATACCCAAAATGGGTCAACTTCCGACTGTCAGACTAACACTAGTACCAAAGCCATTCTTTTATACAAGAGTAGATTACTTCGGCCCTCTTTACGTCACAGTTGGACGTAGACAAGAAAAAAGATGAGGAGTAATTTTCACTTTTTTAAGTGTACGTGCTATCCATCTTGAAGTAGCTCATTCGTTAATTTCAGATTCTTCTTAAACGACTAGAACAATAATAATATTAGAAACGAGCTACTGGAAAAAGGCACAAAATGGAAATTTTTACCACCAACAGCGGCACACATGGCTGGAGTCTGGGAAAGGCTAGTGCGATCTGTAAAAACATCATTCAGAGTCATTTTAAATAAGCAAGTTCTAAAGGATGAACTTTTGATTACACTATTTACAGAAAATATGATTAATAGCAGACCTATCACTAAGGTGTCAGCAGACCCAAATGACCTAGAATTTCTCACTCCAAACCATTTCCTCACAGGCACACTAAGCAACTTAACAACTTTTAGTAATTTAACAGACGAAAACCTACGAAGTGCTTGGAGGAAGGCCCAAGCATACAAAAATCAATTCTGGAAACGATGGACACATGAATACTTGCCAAGTCTAACGAAACGGACCAAATGGACACAAGATGGAGGACCGCTTAATAAAGATAATATTGTAATAGTAGTGAATGAAAATTCACGATAGAACTGGAAACTGGGAAGGGTTGAAAAAGTTTTTTAGAGGTCCAGATGGTAATGTCCGCGTCACTAAACTCTACACACCCTCCGGAACATACAAACTTGTATCAAAATTATACCGAATAGATGTTGAATCTTCAACGTGAGCGAAACAGATAATTTCGTCTCGGGGGGGGGGGGGGGGAATGTTGTGTCTTATTGTATTTTATTTTCGTATCCTTTTTTTTGTTGTTATACTAATTTAGTTAAACCATGTATATACCCATTTTAAAAAAGTAATGACATTAGTTTTGACATGTTGACTGGATATATTTTTTGAAGCTCTAGAAAAACTGTTAATATTATTACGAAACGACGAAACAACTTATGTTTTAGAACAAAAATAAAATAAGTTTTTTTGCTCTTCTGAAAATTTTCTAAATTGTTACTTTCAAGCAGTGGCGGCTTGTGACCAAAATTTTTGGGTTTCACAGTGACAGAATATAGATATCAGTACAGATGTATGAAAAAACTTTCAATGTTTTAGAAAGTTTATAATATACCTTCCTAAAATGTTGGTCACGAGCCGCCCCTGCTTACAAGGTGCTACGTTTTAATCCTCGAAATGTTTATAAGATAGAAAATATAGATTGTCAACATAAGTTTGAGCAACAAAAATACTGAACGAAACATTTTCGCGCAACACTTCCTAAATCTAAAAGCCCAGTAAGTCGAGACCTAGTGAAACTAAATCCCTGAATACGATGACGCGTCGAATGCTTTTATAACCCAAAATAAGCCACTAAACGCGTTCTTTTTCCTACTTTAAAGCGATCAAAACCCTTCAAAGTCGTTATTTCGAAATTTGATAGTACCGCATCTTAAAAGCTTAAAGTCCGATTAAAAAAAAAACGACAACATCGAAAAAGAAAAAATATATTTATATAGAAGGAGATAGAACAAGAAGGAAAGAAAGAGACGCGTTCGAGAAGAATTCGTTACAACTCTTTAAAAATTCAAACCGGGCAAGAAGAAGAATTTATACGGCGCCTGCAGAGGATTTCTGATCCGGCCGAGAAGTCTAGACCGAAGTTGCGCTGAGCGTAGAAGGAATAAGAGAGATAGGAGAGAAAACAAACGATTTGTCCGATTGTTTGGTAGATAAGAGAAGTGGAGACGTATCAATCGGATATCTTTACCTGTGGCCGGGGCTGAGGCCTCACGGGAATCGATGACTCGAGATAACCGATAGAAATCTTTTCTTAATTCTTCTCGCAAAAGTATCGCTTAATAAATATACATACTGATTGTGATAACTAAAGTAAATTAAACCAGGCTACTATCAGTACGGTTTTTAAGTCGATTCAGGAAAACGAGGCGGCATACAAGAAGATCTGAAGCATAGTTACTATCACAAAGCACATAATATGTATAAGTTCCAGTGATTAACCAATGCGTGACCATCGTGATATAAAGGCAGTAACCTTCAAATTGTGAACGCGTAAGGCCGTAAACGTGTTCATTTAAAATATTTGGATTGTTTTTTTACATTCATTGAATTAGTTATTAAAAAACCAATCAGTAATATAATTTTAAGTCGATTGCAATTTTTTTTGTAAACCTAAACGGACTTAATGACATGATAATACCGGCGATCATATAGACCTTATTCAGATTATATCTGAACCCTTTATCGCTTAATAAATATACTGATATAGATGATACGTTCTCACTCATATCTTCTGATGATTTCGCAGAAAAATTCCTAGGTGCTATGGTGATGGAACATTAATATACTACGATGTTTCCTAGTACAGTTTTTGATATCGATACGGCCACCGCAGCTAAGGGGACCAACACTTAATTTGGACGTTGATGCATAAACTTCGATAAAGTTTCATTCAGTTCCTGTTGCAAATACAAATCATAAATTAGAATGAAGATATATAATGCTTGACATTCTGTATTATACTCTTCAAAGTTTAATAGACCCCCCCTTAACTCCCATCTTCAATCAATCATTTTTTAGAATCAATAGGCTTCATTCCCTTGTGGAGCTTGATTTTTAATTAATATTTCATGTTGATATCGCTTTTCATTTTTGATTTTTAAATTTTAACCCCCCCCCCCCTTAAACCCCCCATTAAATAATCGTTAAATTTTTGAAAAACTACTCCCCACTTGGAGTGTTTTTACATCAAAAAGTCTCCAGTCAATGCCTAGTCTTTTTACTACAACTTTTTCGTAAGTTTCTTCATAATGCTTTCTTGAAAGGATTGTAGCTTGTTTTTCGGACCCAAATACTCTATCGGCTGGTAGGAAGGAATGACCCCTTACTGGAAAAACTATTTGTAATTTTGTAACTTTTATTGGTGCTTTAAATCTAAGCCAGAAGTATAGAGTGTCCAAAATATGATTATTTTTATTTTGTCCTCAGCATCCGTCGCTGAATAGACGAACTGTGGTGATATCGTCAATAATTCAATGAATCCAATTAATTTAAAAGTGCAGATCCTACCTCGATTGATCCTCTTCCTGCCATATCTTCCGTCCAAGTAAAAAAAGTTGTTTTTTTTTGGATTGACTGTCCACGCAACAAAAAATATACATGCTAACTTGTTGGCATAAAACGCATCGTTAATTAGGGTTTTGGGCAAAGGCTGAATTTGTTGAAGATCAAAGCAAAAAATAATTGAATTGTTAGGGTTCTCTTTTAGCAGCCTATAAAAAGCATTAGCCCTCTTTTTGTGAATTGTAAGTTCGATTTGTAACCCCCTTTTCTTTTCTGTATCAACTTCACTTTTGGTCAAGTATTTAAGTCTAGTACATTTTGCGCAAATATCGGTGGCTGGACTAGAAAAGCCAATATTAAAGTCATTCACGAATATTCTTCTAAACATAGAAAAGTTAACTTTATGCTCAACATTGCACTGACTTTGATACATGTTGTGCAATTTTTTTATGTTTAAGTTAACATCTAAATAAATCCCTTTCGACTTTTCTCTATTATAGTGACTTTCCTTTCCTTTTAGGTTTCCAATGAATTCTTTTACTTTAACTTTTTTTGCAACAGATTTAGCGAACACGTGATCTCCACCACGGTTTTCTCTTGGAATATTCCCTTCAGATAAAATCTGCGCTATGTGATTAATTCGGTCTTTTTTACATTAACACATTTGAGAAAAAAAGCCTGGCATACCTGAATTTTTTTGTTGGACACTCTTTTGGGCAGAAAATAATGCACCGATAAATTGCGACTTCTGGATTGTGCCCCCTTTTTAGCCTTTTTTTTATCAATCGGTAATGGCACAATTTAGTATCTTGGTCCACTTTATTATTAGTGTCAAAAATTTTGCTTTGTAAAGCACGTACATGCAATGCAATATTTTCACACAGATATGTAGGTCCTTTATGATCGCAAACCTTTTTAAAATTAATCAAATCCGGATCCTCATCTTTGTATCTAAAAAAAAAAAAACAGAAAGTAAACAACACGTTCCAAAAAAAGACGCTAATGTAAATTTTTACCTTTGCTTTTTTTGCATCTGCCGTTTTGTCTCATTTGTTTTGCGTTTTCTACTTCCTATGCTAATATCAGATACATTGGCTTCTCCTTCATCCATCATAAACAATTTCAAAAACAATATTAAAAACGAGCAACAGGTTAACTGCTAAAATGTCACTGCACTTCTAGCTGTTTCTCTGAATTTAAACAATAATATTCGTACTACTTTATCTTTTAGTTTTTATTGACAAACGGAAATAACCATTTTGTAAAAAAGATAGCTGTAAATTTCTGGCGTCACGTTACCTTAGTAATCCGCATAGATGGCAGAAGTTTAAATTTTTTTATCGGGTTTTGCTTGAAATTTGGATTTATCGTTATTTGCATGAAATGGACAAATTAAGGTGCTTTTTTAATACGATGTATCGATATTTGCTTGAATTTAATGCGCTAGATCGGTAAAGCGCACCAAAATTAGTAAAAATGCGTCCAAAAAATGTAAAAAGTGGATTTATCGGCTTTTGCATGTTGGAGACAATTGGAGACAAAAGTGTATAAATGGTTGATGCATTAAAGGAGCCTATGTACCTAAAATTCATTCAATGTTTTGTTGATATTATTTAAAATAAAAATGTTACCAGAAAATAAAGGAACCATGGTGAACTATACAAATAAAAAATATCTCTAAAATGTGTTTTTCTACTACCGTGCGTAAAGTACGTACTTTACGCACTCCACGAAGTGTGTAAAGTAAAACTCTTTACGCACTAGTTAAAAAAAGTAAAATTTGACAAAATTTGTACATAACAAAATATAACGTTTTATTTTATATTAACATTTTTTTGCTATCTTCTTCTAAGACAAATAAATAAATTATTTTTGCTTATATCTATTTAGTGTCCAACAAATTATCAACAGTTTATTTTAATTATAATTTTCTCTAAATGTCATCGATTTAATTAAAAGTAAACATACAGTGGATGTCGATTTTGATAAAAGTAAGTTGGCCGTGGCTGTGTGGATTAGAAGAACTGTCAATCTCTAAACTTTTAATTAGTACCTACCTTATAACAGAACACGACAAAAGTATACTTAAGTTCAAGATTAGATTCTAAAGCCAATTTAGCATTTTTTTAAACTCAATCAAGTTTGAGAAGCTAAAAAGTTTTACTTTTTAATGTTTGTTTACTTAAATTCAAATTTTATTTGCAGTTTATTATATCTTTCATAATCGATATGGATTCAAATTTATCTAGCGATAGCGAATTTGATAATACTCCCCCAGATATCTTATGCAGTGCACAAAAGGCCACTGAAAATTTATTGCCAGAAAAATCTGCATATATTTATCAGCAAAAATACAATGCATTTATAGAATGGTGTAGGAAGAATAAGGTGACAAAATATTCGGAAAACGTTATTTTAACATATTTCTCTGATGAATTGAAGAATTGCAAAGCTTCCACCCTATGGTCGATTTATTCTATGCTTAAAAGCACCTTAAAATATAAAAACAACGTTGATATTTCGAAATTCAACAAGTTAATAGCGTTTCTCAAACAAAAAAATAGAGGTTATAAACCAAAAAAATCCAAAATTTTTGAACGAGAAGATCTAATTAATTTTCTGTTGAAAGCTCCAGATTCCAAGTTTTTAATGATCAAAGTAAGTAAATGCCTCAGTAAATGCTTGAATGCTCAGTATAAAATTAAAATATTCTGTAAAGTTTTGCAACGAGATGTGTGTTCGTATGGTGTGTTGCCTAACAAAATCAGTTGCTGTCCTAACAGGCCACCGGGGTTGTTAGGCAGCACATTATACCTAAAACTTTTATGTTTTTTACAATAGCATTTATTTGGAGTTTTACATGCGCAACGTCAAGATATTTCCTAATGTTTAATACATTATTTGTAACATTACAATATGTTATTTTTTAGGTAGCTTTTATAATTGGAATTGCGGGAGCTTGTCGTCGGGAAGAATTATGTAAAATGACAATTAACGATGTGGAAGATAAACAAACAGTGTATATTGTCAAAGTATCAGAAAACAAAAATGGAATAGAACGCATTTTTACGATTTTAAATCCAAATAATTCTGCAGTTGATTATTTATCTTTCATAAAAAAATATACCTCATTAAGACCATCAAATATAAATTGTAACAGATTTTTTTTAAAATTCGCAAATTGAAAATATTCTAAACAGCCTGTAGGGATAAATACTTTTGATAAAATGCCAAGTGTTATAGCAACGTATCTAAACTTGCCCAATCCAACGGCTTTTACAGGACACTGCTTTAGGAGGTCTTCAGTCACTATGCTGGCAAATTCTGGAGGAGACCTTCTACCGGTCAAAAAACATGGAGGATGGAAATCATCTGCTGTTGCAGAAGGCTACGTAGACAGCACAATAACACAAAAAAACAAAATTTCTAATAAAATTTTGATGGATGACAGTATGCCATCCACTTCCAAACAAAGCTACAATTTTACCGTTGACAACTCTAATGAAGAATTAGTGGAACCACTTGACAGTGAAACTAGAGTTATACAAAATATTTTAACCTCTTTACTTGAAAAGGCCAAATCCATACCACTCGAAGCTCAAAATAGGGTTACAGAAGTAATATCACATTTTTCAAACTCTGTGCTGGAAAAGGCCAAAACCTTAAGTTTTGGTAATTGCAATAATTGCACATTCAATATTAATATTCATAAGAGTTAAAAACCTATTTTTTAAAATATTTCTTCATTTGTTAGTCATTTTGTTCTGTAAGAATTATAAATTTGTAAAGTTCTAATAAATTTATTTTTGTTGCTGTGTACAATTTTTGGCACATTTTACTTTTTTTCACTAGTGCGTAAAGTAAAGTACTTTTTTTCACTAGTGAAAAAAAGTAACTTTTATATTTCTAATATTAGTGGATTATGTGTACGGTAGTAGAAAAAATATTGTATGCCACTCGTGTGTAAAGTCCCTTTTTTGACTCATGTGATTGTCGCACTCGCCTACGGCTCGTGCGACAACATTCACATTCGTCAAAAAAGGGTAACTTTACACACTTGTTGCATAAATAACTATTTTGTTACATTAACCCTTCATCCACTTGTGCGTTCATTTATGCTATCGAGAGAGTCTAGTTGTCAAAGTCGATAAACGAAAGACCAAGATAGGATGTGATGAGACGAAACGAGCGAACACCCCCCAGGGCAGAGCACAGAATTTTTATTCTCGATTCTCGTCAGAATCGCCGATGCTACCGGTGTTTGCTCATTACGGGCTGAAATACGATCCGCGGCGTTTAATAACACCTCGTGTTCGAAATAATTGGTCGGCTACACAAAACGCTTGTTTCTGTTAGGTGGTCCTCCATCCTCTCCCATCTCCCAAACACGTAAACAAACTCACTTCGCTATGACCGCGTTGCGTCGCTATCATTTTTTTTTTTTTTTCGAGTATGGGCAACGGTTTTTTTTTTCTTTATTTTTTATCTAAGTAATTAACGTTTAGTGCCCACGATTGTTTTTGGTTAATATGTAAATAATTTATTAGCCGAATGTATCTCTCCTGCCAAACATCTCTTGAAGTATGGAGACTTGTAAAAAGTTATGATTATAAGAATAAATATTGTATGACGATTACAAATCCCTTTAACTGTATTCGCGCCGTACGTGACAGCAGCGCCAATTCATTTATGTACCAATGGACTATATTTTGCGTATACTCTCCATACAATTTTTTAACAGAATTCGTAATTAAAAAGTATTTATGTTAGTTTTAATAAAAGTATATGGATTTGTCAAACAAGTGAAACATTAATTTAATATTATTATATATTTTTATCGCTTAAACTAAAAAAAAACCTAAGTATAATCAATAAAAATCAGTAATAAAATATAGGCAGGCAACAGTATTTACGGGAAAATGTATGAGAAGTTGCCTAAGTCTAATAAGTTATCTTTCATGAATTAACCTATTCTGTCAAAATTAAAAAAAATACCATTAAATATTAGCGTGAAGTTAAAATGTATAAACAGAAGGATTATTATTTATTTTTTCATTTTTGTTCGAAAGAAAACAGAATGAATGATTAAGACTGGTTTCCTATCAGTAAGTCACAAAATTGCATTCCAGCCACATACAATAATCAAAGGCAGAAATCTATTTCTTGCTCAATATTTAAGATTAAAGGGATGTTGAAGAACATCGTAGAATGATAATTTATTGTTTATTTAAAACCTTTCAAGTTTCGGATGTCTACTGCTATTTCCACTATTACTGTTATTATTACAAAAATAAAGGTAATATTTCTTCTTATTCTACAGCTATCCATTTATTTCTTTGATTTAATTTCCACTTTGCTACTGAATTTTTTTATAATTTACACTTTTTTTGCTAGAATTTTTACAATTTACAACACAGCAACTCCGGTTGCTTATTGTATTGTTTTTACCTATTTTTTTTGAAAAAAAAGTAAAATGTGTACGTGTAATTAATATGCCAAAATTACAAAATATGGCCCTAAAATGCATGAATTATCCGCAGCTAGCGCTAATATCGCTTTTGCTTCCCCTACCATGACTTCGCACTGAGCGAATAGCAATTTCCAAAGTCAGGTACAAATTCTGTCTTGCTAATTGAACAAGCATGTGCGACATCGGTTTTTATTCTGTTACAATTTGAAAACCTTAAATTACTTTAGCCCAGACATTGTTATTATTTCTGT